AAATAAGTTTGTAAAGCAAAATAGAAGTTAGGGTGGAGAGAGAAATTAAGGAAAATTCCTCACTTATTTTTCAATAATTATTTATTCAAAAAATATTTAATGATTGCCTACTATATACCAGGCACTATTCTACAATAAAAATGTATTTATGTATTACTTGTATAATTTAAAAATATTTTTAATTTTTTCAATGAAAATATTTAACTCAATGAGGAGAAACCAAAATAACAGAAAATCTCTAAGGTGCTTAAAAATGTGACCCTTTATCTTGTTAATGTACCAGAAACTCAGGAGTCTTTTGAAGGTAAGTAAATAAATTTAGTGTTAATTTTAAATCTGTTCTATCTAACCCAGATTAAATTCTTATTTGTTTAGATCTGGACCCAATGGAGAAACAAACCATTTTCTCTTTTTCTACTTTTTAATTCAATTCCATTCTCTTATCCTAGTTCTTCTGAGGTTTGGAAATAGCTGGTGAGGTCTAAAGTTCTTATTTGGGGGTAATTCCAGGTATCAAATGGCTGCCAACAGATAAAGATATGTGGTTTTTTTTACATTAACATATTAGAGTAGGTATGGCCGAGCAACCCAGAGAGTAAACCTGGTCTTTATGAAGTTCATTCTTGGCATCACATAATAGAGAAATATATCTTTGTCATTTATATTGACACATCTTCTCGTCTTAACCAAGTGATACATAGACGACATCAATAATAATATAAACATTAATAAATATTGAAATAACTTGGTATAACTCAACATTTTAACCTCTCTTCCCAATTACTTCCAGTAACAAGGCCTTCAGTACCTCAACAAGGAAGTTCGTTCATTTTTAGACAACTGTAACTGTTACAAAGTTTTTCTTCTGCTATTCCTGTGACTGACTCCCTGTGACTTTCACCTGCTAACTAGAGTTTGGCCCACCATAGTATATGCTCTTTCCCGATAGCAGCACGTTAGCCATCTCAGGACAGCTATCAGATTCTCTTAAGACTTCTTTTCTTCAGAATAAACATGCCTGGTTCTTTTAACCTAAGGGAAGCTTCTGTCAACTGGCCTAGAAAGAGTAAAAATTAAATTTCTCTGCAACCAGGCTATTGGTTCAGTTGAAAAAGACAAGATTTGGTTTTTACCTTAATGCAGCAAACAACCCTCTTGGCTAAACATTACAAATACCTCTTGGCATTTGTCTTCAAAGAAACATCCCTCCACATGCCTGTACATGTGTATACACATTGCCTTCCACTTTTTCTTTATATATGTTTTTTTAAATGGGCACCAAGACGTGTCCATCCTCAGTTCAGGTAACTTGAGTTTCCACCCAAGAGGCTTGTACTCTCTGTTTCATTTTAGTTTTATTTAAGCTACAGTATTTCATTCTTATAAATTCATACCTATTTTTGGACCCCTAAAATATCAGGCAAAGACTGGGCCCATTAAACTTGATCTGATAAGCCTTAACTTAGGCTAGGCTTAGCAATGTGTCTGTTAATTGTGCGCATTTAGCTATCTTAGTTCTATTTGTTAGAGACTGTTAACTACTTTACATCTTTAGGAAGTTAGAAAATAAATGTTTAAGTCTGGAAAAACCTATAGAGGACATCCACCTAATTCTTCTCTGGTCCTTAGAAGAACCTAATTATATCTCTAATCTAAACCTTTTTGGAGGGGCAGAGGCGGAGTGAATATTAGTCTTGCCTAAAAAAGCTATACCTAGGAATTTTTTCTTAAGTTTAGTCCTAACTCCCGTCTGATATCTGTCCCAGTTTTCCTAGTTATGAAACAAAGGTAATAAGATCTCTGTTTTAACTATCTCATGGTGTTACTATAAGAACTACATAAGATGGTACATGAGAAAGTTCATTTGAAAGTACAAAGTGTAATAAAAAATATAAGGAACAATATTATTAATAATAATAGTACCTTCTATGACCACAAATGAGACACTCCACAAATCCCTCCTTTTAACACTAAGACATTTTAATTAAATTCCCCTTTTTATTTCCTTTTCCCACACCACCAACCAAAAAAAATTTTTTGCCGCATAATCTGTAGCCTGGGCCTTTAATTATAAACCTCTGCAATGATTTACATAGAGTACAACATAAGTGTATTCTGACATTTTGAAAACCCAGCCCTCCTCTCAGACTGACTTCATTTTCTTTTTCCTTTTTTATAACCTTTTCTATATTCTCCTGGAAAAAAAACACACTGCCTAGCAATACAATATTATAGCAACTGTCACCGCTATGAATATTTTAGTTATAGTTACGCACCTTGAAACTCTTACAAGTGGACTCATGGGTTTCCTATGCAAAAGTACCAGATCTATTTTCTCAATTATGTGCCCTAATTTTTTCCAGATTTTTAGAGCCCATTATAGTGTTTCCACATTCAGATTGTAGACACCGGGGCTACTCTACAAGTTTATAATTTGAAAGCTCAGTTCTTAACATTCAGGAATGCAGATTCCCCAAAATGAGAACACAAAAGTGAAAGACTGCACTGCAAAAAAGTCCCTACCATTTCCCTCACCCCAATCTTTGCTAGCGTCAAGTTGCATAATTTTATATAAATAGTATATACAAACTAACCCACAGGCTCCTTTTTCATGTAATTTTCCTTTCTTTCTTTCTCTCAATATCCTTTTATTCCTTTCCTTCTCATTCACTACATTCCACTCCCTGATAACAACAACAAATATTTATTGAATGCCTATACCATACAAGACCATGTGTGCTAAATGCTAGGGAAAACATGTGAGAACAAAACAGGCCAGTCCAGAGTAAAGGACAGACATTAAATAAAAATCACACAAATAAACACATAATTTTACATTGCAATATCTGCTATGAAATAAATTAAAGTGTGGGAAGCATGATCTTTGCAGGCACACAAGATGTGAATTGGAAGGATCAGAGAAGGCCTCTCAAGAAACATTTAAACAGAGACCTGAAGGATAAGCAGGAATCATTATGAAGAAGAATGAGAAGTGTATTCCAGTTAAGAAGATAGATTTACGTGAAGACCTTAGAGTGGGGAGGAAAAACTTGGAGTGTGTAGACCAGTATAACAGTTGAATCAGAAAGTACCACTGGGAAAAAGATAAGAGCTGAGGCTGGCAATGCAGGAGCCAGATTATGCAGAGCCTGGGCTTTGCAGATTATGTTAAAGACTTTTTGTTTTAATTAAAGTATAATAGGAAGCAAAGAAAAGGTCTTTCTTGGATCTCAAAGAATGGTAAGTGGAGTTTTTCCTCCTACATAATGAATATGGAATTAAGTTCAAGTATAAAGAAAAGCATAGAAATGATAGACACCAAATTAAAAAGAATGGTTACATCTGATTCAAAGAGGGAGATATAAAATTGATTAAGAGTACACAAAAGGCTTCAACTGCATTGGTAATGTTTTATCTCTTACAGGTACATAGGTATTTTAATCTATTCATTATACATTTTTGTATGACTAAAACTTTCATAATAAATTTTTTTTAAAAGAATTAACAAATGCTAAGACTTTGCAGGTTCATTTCTTCTCTTTTTTCCTAGGCTCATACTAAATATTCTCAATTTTGAGAAACAAGTACACAGAATTTAGGGATCTCCCATCTTACACTCTTTGTTTCCTGGACATTTATTTTCTAGACATTTCACATTAGATGTTAGAAGCTCCTTAATTAGCTTATCTTTTCTTTCAGCATATACTATAATCCTGTGTCTTTCCAAAAACCACATAGTTAATATGAAGATTAAATGAGATAGAGCATTTTACATACCATTTAGCACACAAGAGCTCAATAAATTTTAACTATTGCTTTTTATTATTTCATTTATTATACTCTGTATTCCCAGTCCTAAATATGAGCCAGAACACTAGAACTGAAAAAAAAAAGCTGAGTATATATGGCTAAATGGTGCTCTGGTATTTTGAATACATATATACTATATATATTGATGAACACACAAACACATACACATGCATAACATATATTTCCAATATTAAATTTATGGGTTTTTTTAAACATTTTTCTGTGCTCATGTAAGCATTATATAACAAAATGTTATTTTGAGGCCTTTTTATTGCCACTAAAGAAATATCTTTAAAGAAAAGGTTAAAATCCTGTATTTGATGGTACATGGTTACAATTTAAGGTGAGTTTAATAAGTTTACTATCTTCTCCTAAGTACAATGCTATATTGAAATGATTTATGACTGCATAAAGCTACAATTATATTCACTATGGTCCATATTGTGTTTAAAAGGCTCATTTTTACAATATCAAGTAATTCATGTAAAACTTCAATCTTATGGAATTGAATACTGACATCAAATTTTTTTTCTACAACAGAAGAAGCAGTCTTTGATGCAAGAACATTATTAAAATCATCTTTCACTTAATTTTCTTTGTACAAATAGCACAGATCCTCTCATTTCTCCTTCCTTCCAATTCACAAATACAATAAAAGCTGTCTTTAGAAAGGTCCTTAAATTAAACATCAAGATGAAATGACTACTAGGACACAGAAAATAAAAGAACTTATGACAGTTTTCGTTATCTAGAAGTCTAAAAAATATCTCACTGACTCTTTACATGAATATTATATTTTAAATTATATTTTCATACCTAAGAACCCAGAACTTGCTCGTGTGAAAAAACAACAGTTTGTCATTCAATATTCTTTAGTTTGAGGTTTAGACTTAGATTGTTTTAGTAATCATTCCTCCATACTCACTTCCTTGTTCTTAATCACAAATCTAATCATGTATTTTTATAAATATTCAAAATTAAATATATTTATCTACTTATGTAAATACTTTACAGTTAACTTTTACCGATAGTCTGTGTAGGGATCTCATTAACAAACACATTTGGAACTTTTAAAATTTGTTCCGGCAGCCTGTAAATTAATATTAAAGTTAACTATTTCAATAGATCAAAATTCTACACATTTTTAAAAATGGATATAAAAGATTAATTCCAAGTTTTGTTTTACTTACCAAGCTCTGCCATTCCACCTCACTGCCCGAACAATATTATCAGCTCGTGGGATACTCATTCTTGCTAAGTAAAAGGATATTTCTTCTCTAGCTGGATTAATAATCAACCTTCTAGATAGTTCATTTGTAATTCTCTTCTGGTTAACCCTTAGCATTACAGCAGTCTGCTCAACTCATTCTAATCAACTTACGAAGTAGGGAAAAGAAGATGAAATTCAATGATGCAGATAACAAATGGAAAATACAAATGAGGGACAGTTTAGATTAGGCACAAAAGAACAATCAGCCTTACTTTTTTACACTACAAGATGTAAATCTTTATGCTAGAGATTACAAAAGCACTCAGGTCATAAACACAAGATACATGAAAAGAAAACCCTAACAGGCTTATAACACAGCAGTTCAGCGTATATCAGCCCATGTTTTCTGCTTTCTTACGTTCAGATAAATACAAATTAGCTCTGAGCATAATAGATACATTTTTCTCTTAGTAGAAAGGTCTGACTTTCAATTTCTACATGCCTCCTCTCCCAGTGACTTTAATCACTTGGTCCCTTATCCTACGATAAGTGTCATCTCAGGCTTTATGGAAATTTTCTCCAAATGTGATCTGTAAACACTTGCAAGAGAATAATCTATGGCACTTGTTAAAAATATAAACACCTGGATCCCACTTCATAAACCTGAATCATCTCAGGAGATTCTTATATACACTAAAACTTTGAGAGCCACTGCTCTAGAACCATTTCTGACCTTATCTAAAAGACTCCAACACAATCCCTTGAGACACAAAATAAAATTAATTACTCCTGCTGCTAGATTAACTTTTTGCTTTGATTCCAATAAATAGGATTATACCTTGTTTTCCTGTACCAAAGTGCACTAGTTCATCCAAGACCATGACACTTCCATGGTCTTGGTAACCTTCCACTTGCAGACTCCTTAGAAACTGGAATCTGTCTTTTAACTTTATTTAGTATCTAAGGCCTTATCGTGACCTAGCTGCCTAAATCTCTAATACCACTTGCCCCCGACTTTTATTGCTCTGTCTGCTTTATGAAACACTTAGTCTCCTGTTTTATGCCTCTCTTCTACATGCAGGAACTACACTTATTGGTGTTCATTGTCCAGTCTTTTAGCTAATGCATTTTGTCTGCTTTATTAACTTTCTCCCAAAGTTGTTCCCATTCCAGTGGACCCTTACCTGAGGTCTCCTGTTATAATGAACACAACTTGTTTAGTCATATTCAGAGAAATTAACAACTAACTAAAACGTGAAAAGACAGATAAGGCAGCCAGTAGTTTCACAAATTGCTACAAAAGCCCATGTTCATAGTCAGAGCAAAGGAAAAGATGATGACTATGGAAAAAGAAGAACCATGGAAAACTAAAAGAAAGTCCTTGAGAACTGGAAGAGTAGACCAAGTAAAACAAAGTGAAAAAATGTTTTAATTCTAATCACTTATTTTTATTTTTATGGAATCTATTTAAAAAGGTCAACAAAATGATGATTATTTAATCTGGAGAGAAGATTAAAGTGATGAAAAGAAAAACAGTACTGGACTAGTAAAACTCAAAAGACTTGGATTCCTCTGGTCTCTCTTTTACTTCCTAGATTTCTGATCTAGATTAAATCTCTTAATTTTCCTATACCCATTAAGGGGTATGCCTTGTATGCCTAGGATTATTTTGATAGTTAAAGATCATATTTATAAAAAGAGCTTTAAAACTATAAATGCCACATAAATATAAAGGATTACTGCAGCTATATAAATTACTATTATATAAAGATAACAGTTGTCTACAAAGGACACAAAGAGGCAATTATATATTTTTTTTTTTTAATTTAAGTATAGTTGGTATACAGTTTGGTATATTAGTTTCAGGTATACAATATAGTGATGTGACATTTTTATACCTTACAATGTGATTGCCCCACTATTCTGCTAATCTGTCACCATGCAAACCCATCACAATATTATTAACTATGTTCCCCCTTTACCTTTTTTACTCATTCACCCACCCCTCTTCTCTCTGGCAATGATATCCCTTTGGTCTCTGTTTCTATGAGTCTATTTTTGTTTAATTTTGTTTGTTCATTTGTTTATTTTTTAGATTCCAGATATATGTGAAACTATACAGTATGTGTCTTTCTCTGTCTGATTTATTTCACTAAGAATAATACTCTCCAGATCCATCCAAGTTGTCATGAACGGCAGGATTTCATTCTTTTTATGGTCGTGTACTATTCACATATATGTATATTTCATATCTTCATTATCCATTCATCTATTGATGGACACCCAGGTTGTTTCCATATCTTGGCTATTTTAAATAATGTGATACATTATTTAAAGATACATAAGGGTGGATGTATCTTTTCAAATTAGTATTGTTGTTTTCTTTGGATAGATACCAGAAATGAAATTGCTGGGTCATATGGTGGGTATATTTTTAAAAGAAAGTGGAAACCATATGCAATAAAAGAAGCTAACAAGAGTTTGTGAAATGCCTTTCCTAAGAAAATTTCAAAATATGATCAATGTCAGTTAGGGGACAAAATAAAGTAAAATCATCCTAAAATATAGAAAAATTATCAGGTTAACCTTAGTTTGCCCAGGTCAGAAACCTTAAGAGTCTTACCAGAAGGACTTCTAAGTAAGAAAAAGGAACATTTGGCACTGGTGACTCTCATCCAGAATCATCTTCCTAAAGCTAGAGTTCAGAGTGACTTCAAGTGGCAAAAATTTGAGGCATATTTTTGCAAGACATTTAAACTGAATCCAACATGGCCTAAGATGCAGTCGAGTGTTATAACTCAATTTAACTGGATAATGTGTACATATTAACATTGAGAAAACAGAAGACTTTAGCCAGTGTACAAATTGGTTGACTAGAGCTGTCCATATGAAAACAAAAAGGACTGACTCTTGACTTTTAAAAAATAGACACTTCCATCTCTTTAAGTTTCAATGAACACATTTAACAAGTATTGTTGGAACATCTACTATGTTTCAGATGTTGGTCAAGAACACTGAGGAATATGAATGACAAAACGGTCAAAAAAATATCTGCTATCTTGAGCTTATGTTGTAGGGAATATAAGGAAAATATAGCAAATAAATTTGATATGCAAATTACCAGTTGATAAAAGCTATAGGAACAAATAGAACAGCACTAGACAGATCAGAAATGTTTGCAGGATTGCAAATTTAAAATAGGATAGTCAAGGTAGATCTCACTGAGAAAATGACATCTAAGCAAAACTTGAAGGAGATAAGGTTGATCATGAAAGGGTTTTTCCATTAATTTTTAAATTTTACCAATTTAATAATAAATGGAGGCTATCCTTATAAATTAACTTTCATATTATAATGATGAAAAATTGGAAAGCAATAATTTAATAGTAAAACAAACTATAGTACATGCATATGACAGTATATAATGTGGTCATTAAAACTCATGTTTTCAAAAGACTATTAACATGGGAAAGTCCAATAAAATGATTTCTTAAATACAAAAATGTATCTAAAGTATGTTCCAATTTTGCATTTTTTTTTTCATTTAGTCAACAATTATTTTTCAAGCATCTACTATGAGCCATGCACTGTTCTGGGCATTGGAGAGAGGGCAGTAAACAATAGACATGTTCTTTCATCACGTACACACATAGATAAAAGACAGAAATAAAATATATTAAAATGTTACTGGGAGGAACACTTCATAAACAATATAAATGTCTAACCAATGTACTGTATACTTGAAACTAATATAATTTTTTTTTTAATTTTAATGTTCCTGGGGAGTAAATTTTTTATCATGAAATAATAATCAGACATTATGGATTATTTTATTTTCTCCTCTATGTTTAAAGAGTCTAAAATTTCTAAATATGTTCTGAATGATTCTAAAAATAAACTATGCCATTTACATTGACCTAACCATTGTGGTTCATATTTGCCTGGGGATATCTGTTTAAATAAAGCACAAATTTATACTCATAATATTCTATCAACTGTATATTGCATTTTTCCACCATATCCTAATTCTTATGTCCTGTACAACATCTAACAAAGTTGAATAACATCAGGTCCCTTTCTAAAGATGCAAAAACTAAGAAACAGAACAGTTAACTATTTTGCCATTATGGAAAGAAAAAGTGTTTAAATCCTAAACTGTAATAATGTCTATGAAAGTATTTCACACAGTAACTTAGGGGTACATCTCTCCCCACTTACGCTGGCATTTTTGTTTTTGTTTTTGTTTTTGTTTTTGTTTTGGTCAGAAAAAAAAATTCATTTATTTAAAATGGAACTTTAAAAGTTATAAAAAATCTGATCTGAATCTCAACCCACCACCAGATGTTAGCTTTATTCTCTCTCCCCCTTCAACCAGTAAAGTGACCAGAAAACAAGTTAGACATTCCTGTAATGCTTCATTTGTTCTTTATTTTCAAGTTATTATATTTAAATAGAAAGCAAATGACATCTATTTGCCTATCCCTAACTAGTTGGGTTATCTTTGGCAAGTCATTTCAATTTTCTGGTCTCACTTTTCTTATTTTTCACATACCACATTTAGACTAGATAATCTCAAAAGTCCTTACATCCAGAGTTTCTGGATATTATTATTTCAAGTCTACGAGGAACCTACAATAAATTAAGGAAACACAGCTTCTCAAAGAGAATGAACAAAAGAAGAAAAGAAAAAGAAAAAGAAAGAAAGAAAGAAAGAAAGAAAGAAAGAAAGAAAGAAAGAAAGAAAGAAAGAAAGAAAGAAAGAAAGAAAGAAAGAAAGAAAGAAAGAAAAGACTACAGCAATAAGAACAGTTGGCTAGAAAAAGTAAAAAAACAAAGACCTAGGATTAAAAGAGAATTTGAAAATCCCCCCCAAACCCCTGGACCAAGTCCAGCTTCAATTACACAAGGGTTGTTTGGAGACAATACAGAGGAAGAAATATGGTTTCTTTGATCATCAAAAGATGAGCTGTTTGCTTAAAAAGATAGTGTTCCTATAACTCTCTCTAGTTGCACACACACACACACACACACACACGCA